GAGTCTTTTTTTACCAGTAGAAGCAGAGCTTCCACTCCCATCTGGAGATTAACCCTGCATTTCCGGAGGAAACTGTAATAACCTTCCCTGAGATGATTGTCAAGACAATGCTGATTCTCCTCAGGACCCACACCCACACACCCCCTCCCCGCCCCATGCTTCTAGACCTACAACTAGACTCAGGTGCCAGCAAGTCCCTAAAGGTGAGGTACAAAGTGTAACCCACAAGGAGGTGTGCTATACACTAAAAGGACTACATGATTTTTCCCCATTTATACAGAGAGAAACCCAGGGGATATGAGATTGGAACACTAGAGTGGAGTTAGTGTCTAAGACCTGTTGGATGTTAGGGTGGAGTTATTGTGTAAGACTGCTCACACACCCCAGGAGGGTGCAGAGGACACGCTTTTCACCAAAACACATAGGAATACCTACAGAGTGGAAAAAACTGTTAATACTAGCAAAGGAATGATGTCCCACACACCCTTGCATCCTCACCCCACCAAGCCTGGCAGAGAAGAGGAAGGCTGTGACCCACCTTGACCAGTACTCTTCCTAGTTCCTCTAATTGGACCAGCTTGTCATGTGCCCAACCCTGAACCAATGAGTGTGGCTAGTGGGATGGGAAATGTTATTTGGCTTAAACCACTCAGGGTCTATACCTGGGTTTGGGGATGTGATAAAACTCCAAACCACACAGCAGAAAATTGTTGTTAGGGGTGAGGGATGCAGTTCTTGATACCAAACCTCTTACTCTTAAGTTTGAACCTCTTAATCTCAAGTTCGTGTGCCTGATGCACATGAAGCCAAACACTGAGACACTGGTGCTTTAAGATGGAGAAAAGTTTGTTCAAATTTGCCAAAACGAGAAGGCAGAGCATGGGTTCTCTCAAATCTGCCTTAACAAGAGAAGAAGGCAGGGGGTTTTACAGAGCTAACCGATGTGGCAGGAGGATTTTCAGAGAAACAAAGGGGTAATCCGTGTTTCTTTCCCTCCCAATAAGCCCCTGGGCAATCTGACTTGTAGGGTCAACAGCAGCTGGGGGCTGGTTATCTGGTGACCCTTGAAGGCATTCTCTTTCTTCTGTAAAACAAGCTCATAAATCCCTGTGACCCTTGAGTTACCCCCTGGGTTAAAACAGCAAATTGACAAGATTAACTTCTTTTCAAACAGAATGTTGAAAGGTAATCTTATTGAATATTTACAGTAACCCTCAGGAATGGCTTCACTCACAAAGTGAACACAATGGTTGGTAATTAATCCTTAGTTTCTGGGAAGAAATGCTTATCCTTAAAGAAATGCTGATATGGGGGAGGCAACATCACTATCTTTTTGTTTGTTTGTTTTGTTTTGTTTTGTTTTTGAGGAAGATTAGCCCTGAGCTAACTGCTGCCAATCCTCTTCTTTTCGCTGAGGAAGACTGGCCCTGAGCTAACATCCATGCCCATCTTCCTCTACTTTATATGTGGGATGCCTACCACAGCATGGTGTGCCAAGCAGTGCCACGTCCACACCCGGGATCCGAACCAGCAAACCCCAGGCCACCGAGAAGTGGAACATGTGCAGTTAACCACTGTGCCACCGGGCCAGCCCCAGCATCACTATCTTTAAGGGCATCATTCTTGGCTTTGGGACATTGTAAATGTTTAAAGCAGATACACAGTGCATGCTCAATAGGCCACATCAGATCCTTCTGGAAAAACAAGGTCAAGGTTGGTTTAGTTTTAAACCAAATGACTTCTTCATATACTCCAGTATATCTTACTGCTTGTCATTTACTCCTCAAGTGTAATGGATTTGGCATTTTATTCTAATCATGGAATAAAAGTTCTGTACTTAGAGAAAAGTTTCAAACACATGCATAAATGTATCTAGCATTTGGGACTAAACCAAATCCTGTTTATTTTTGTAGCCAGGATAAGTGCTGATTTCGAGGATCTCCTAGAGTGTCTGGAGCAGCCTGGATTTTATTATTTGTGCCTCAGAGTCATAATAGCAACCTCACACTGATCACTTACAAATGCAGGCTCTGTACACTAAGTGCCCCCCATGCATCAGCTCTTTAAATCTCCCTCAAGTCCTTGAGGTTGATGTTAGCGTCTGAATTCCCTGATGAGGAGCCTGAGGTTTAGGGATATAAGCAACTGGCCCAAGGTAACACAGCTACTAATGGCAGAGTCATTTGAACCAGGCCTGCAGGACCCCAAAGTCCGCGTCTCTATGGTGGATACTGTGCTTCCCCTCCACGGCTGTCTCCAACACCCCCGCCTCCCCGCCCTCCCCCAACCCTGCAGTATCATTTGCATCATTTGGGCTGTTGATGAAGAAGAATATTCTGATTCCACCTTTGCATCTCAGCACTAAGAAGTTTGGCCTCATCTTCTATCTGAAAACTCTAAAAGTCAGGATATTCACTGGCTCCGGAAGAAGAGTCTGTACGATTCAGTTGGAAAGTTTGAGCAGATGCAGCAAAACCTATCTTTCAAGCTCTACGTACGAGGTTGTAGTGAGTTTCAAGAGGCTCCTTGTCAACATCTGCCAGATTCCTGTTCTGTTGCTTCACTTCATCTGGTCTCCTCTGTTATGATGCGCTATCATACCTGGGAACAATAGCTGTTTAAGTCAGGCTTTAAAATATCAAAGTCGGGAAACAGTTACCATATGTATTTCTGGAGGAATGACAAACGTTGTTAGACTTGCTTTTCGGTTCAGCAGAGATGATACACAGGTGCTGGTATATCGGTCCGTCATGGAAGGGCTCAGATTCCCACTGATCCCCGAGTTGAGGGAGTGAGAATCCCCATCAAGAGGCGTTACATAAGTGTCTTATTCCATTAGGGCTGCTATCGCAAAATGCCACAGACTGGGTGGTGTAGGGGAGGACGACATTTCCTCTATCCAAAGTGGGTTCGTCTGGCCGGAGAACGAGTTAAATTCACATGAGACAGAATAGCAAGAGAAAATTAAACAAAGCTTTATGAGGAACCATGGCCCAGGGGCTCTCTTCCCGAAGGAAGAAAGGGCACCGAAGAAGTGGGGTGCACAGAGTGGTTATATACCCCCAAACAGGGTGTTTCACATGTGATTGAAATGGCGCCCCCCACAATAGTCACAAGATTGCCCTGTCGGCACAGTGCTTGATGGACACAGCAGGTAGTGGTCTGCTATCTCGGTGGGCGTAGCAGGAGGCAAGTCTATTGTCTCCAGATGGCCGGTCACAGGTAAGCTCAGCAATCAGTTCCTAGCCTAAGGAAAGATGCTTAATCCTTAAAGAAATGCCAACGTTGGGAGGGGAAGGGAAGTCAGTTATAGGAGGTTACCAGACAAGCACAATAAAATGCAGATTTAAGTCCTTGCCTTCGGCATTGATTAAGAGTTTCTAGAGGGGCTGCCCCGGTGGCGCAGTGGTTAACAGCGGTTAAATTCACACGTTCTGCTTCTCGGAGGCCCGGGGTTCGCTGGTTCGGATCCCAGGTATGGACATGGCACCATTTGGCACGCCATGCTGTGGTAGGCATCCCACATATAAAGTAGAGGAAGATGGGCACGGATGTTAGCTTAGGGCCAGGTTTCCTTAGCAAAGAAAGGAGGACTGGCAGTAGTTAGCTGAGGGCTAATCTTCCTCAAAAAAAAAAAAAAGAGTTTCTAGAGAGAAGTTCATCTCCTTTCTTCTTCCTGGTACAAAGAGAGAGGCACCTTTTACAGATAGAGATTTACCTTACAAATGTAAATGTCTCCTAACAAAGGGTAAGTAAATTCTACTTTTCAGTTGCTTTCCTGTCTGCAAAGTAACTAGCCTCAAATAATCATCATGCCAAAGAGACATACCTTGGGGTGGACATTTCCAGGTCCCCACAGTGGCTTATAAACAACAGAATTGGGGCCAGCCCAGTGGCGCAGCGGTTAAGTTTGCATGGTCCACTTTGGCAGCCCAGGTTCGCTGGCCTGGATCCCGGGTATGGACCTACGCACTGCTTATCAAGCCACGCTGTGGCAGGCGTCCCACATATAAAATAGAGAAAGATGGGCATAGATGTTAGCTCAGGGCCAATCTTCCTCAGCAAAAAGAGGAGGATTGGCAGCAGATGTTAGCTTAGGGCTAATCTTCCTCAAAAAAATAAAAAATAAACAACAGAATTTATTTCTCACATTTCTGGAGGCTGGGAAGTCCAAGATCAAGGTGCCAGCACGGTGAGGGCCCTCTTCCTCATTCATACTTCTCACTGTGTCCCCCACACGGTGGAAGGGCTGAGGGAGCTCTGTGGGGTCTAATAAAAGAACGCTACTCTCATCCATGAGGGTTTCACCCTCATTACCTAAGCACCCCCAAAGGCCCCACCTCCTGATACTGTCCCATTAGGCAGTAGGATTTCAACATACGAATTTGGGGGAGGGGAGGACACAGAAACATTGGGACCATAGCAGTAAGTTTCCATCACCTTCCAAAAGGGAGGTTCCGGGGTGTGTGAAAGTTGGAGGGAGTGACTGGAGACAACGGAGTTGAATGTCGTTCATTTTGGCAGGGAAATGGATGAAATTCATTGAGGTTCCCAAGTTTTCGGCAGTGCAGGAGACAGGCCGCCAGGCTTGCCTGTGGATCGGAGCTGGTGAACAGGCTGCAGCTGTGAGACCCAGACTTGGAGGCACCCTAATCCTATTTGCAAATGTCATATTTAGGTACCTAGCAAAATGTCATATTAGCAAATACCATATTTAGCAAATGTCATATTTAGACACTTAGCAAATATGGTTAGCAAATAACCAGGTTACTCAACAGAGGCCTCAGTTTCCCCATCTGTAAAATGGAGATAATAAGACCCACTCTCCCAGAGTGTGTGGGAAGGATTAAATGAGATATGCATGTAAAGTTTCTGGCACTTAGTAAATAGCTTCTATTATTATTAACATTTTCATTGTATGTACACCCATTTTGAGTTTGTTCAGAATTGGACATATTATACTTTACATTATAATAACTAACAAATGTTATCCTCAGCAGATGCAGACCTGTGGAACCAGAATTGCATCTGTAGCAGCTGGGAAGTCATTCTAGGCTCTTGGCCCAGTGTCTTGGCCCCGATCTGATATGAAGATGGCAGCCAGGGTGCTGTGGGGCAGCCTCAGCCTGCTGCGCCTGGTGTGGTGTCTCCTTCCGCAGACAGGCTACGTGCACCCGGACGAGTTCTTCCAGTCACCCGAGGTCATGGCAGGTAAAGCTCCCCAAGTATGGTTAAGATAAGTTGCAGCAAAGTCTGGTTGAGGAGCTGATGGGATATTTAGTGAGGAGGGAGAAAAATGTCCGTGTAGATGAGCAGTAAGTCCACGAGCCTCTCTGGAATGAGAACTTGGGAGTGAGGACTTCATCTCCTTCCTAAGGGGTGACATTGACCTTCTAGATGATACTAATGAAATGCTCTCTGATGTTTTCCTGCTTGGACCAACAGTTACAGGTCATTCGGAATGAAAACTGTTCTGAGCTTCTCAAGGGAAGAATTTTAGAGTTGGGCTTCCCCAGTGGTTAGGGAAGCTCACACGGTCTGTGGTTGAAATAATGAAACTTTTCTTCTGTAGGTTCATGTAAGGGCTGAGGGAATCCAGATCTAGAATGCTCACTTGTTAGAACTTATCTGCTAGGTGGCATAAGACACATTATCAGGATGGTTGCCAAAGACCTTGAGGCTTTTCAGATGCTTGGGGCACACTGCTTCCTCCTCATGGTTCAAGATGGCTGCTTCAGCCCCACCCATCAAGTCTAAAACCAAATCTTTTCAGCCACCGGAGAAGAAATGGGCATGCCTGCTCTCTTTAAGCGCATATTTTGAAAGTCACATACTTTTTGCCCATTTCCATCCCACTGGTCAGATGTATCACATGACCACACCTAGCTTCAAAGGAAAAATAGAGTCTTGATACCTGACCAAATGCCCAGCTAAAGAGACTAAAGAAGCAGGAGGGAGTGAATATTGAGGAGACATCCAGCTATCTCTGCACAGAGCTCAACGGGGGAATTTTTTTTTTTAAGTTGAAAGGTCCAGTCTTCTTTTCCACACTTTTTTTTAAACCTGAGCCAGTAAAAAGCAGCCAGATTGATCTGATCTTAGATTTTCTGTTTCCCTTTCACCTTCTGACATAGAGAAAACATCCAAAAGGCTGGAGGAATAAGAAGGGGAAGCAAAGAGCCCTAAACAACCAGCGAGGTTGTCAAGCATGAGATGTTGTGGGGCTTGGAGCTGAGGTGCAGAAATTAAGAGCTCGTTTCCCTCGCCGCCACCCCTCTGAGCTCTGGGACACTGGGGCACAGGGTCACATACCAGCCCCAGGCAGCAAGTATTTCTTTAATTACATAAGTACTGCTTGAATACTTTCTCCTTATAAAAAATTTAAGTATCACAAACTAAAGTTACTTTTGACTCTAACCACAACTGCTTAGTCCCTTCCCCTCTTCTCACACTGCCTATCCTGGGGACACTCATAATCACAGAGATGGGTTTTTGACTGACTTTGGAGACTTAAGGACTCCAAGGAGGGGCCGGCCCGGTGGCGCAGTGGTTAAGTGTGCATGTTCTGCTTCAGCAGCCCGGGGGTCACTGGTTCGGATCCCGGGTGCAGACATGGCTGTGGTAGGGGTCCCACATATAAAGCAGAGGAAGATGGGCACAGATGTTAGCTCAGGGCCAGTCTTCCTCAGCAAAAAGAGGAAGATTGGCAGCAGATGTTAGCTCAGGGCTAATCTTCCTCAAAAAAAAAAAAAAAAAGAAATCCAAGGAGAGGAATGGAGCCTCCGCCTGCTCCTCCCCTTACACCCTGTCCAGGGCATATTGTCACCTCACTTCCCAGGCCTGGTTCTTCCTGCTCCCTTGACAGGTGGGGCCTCAGACGGGCTGAGCTCCCCTATCATTTCTGTTGCCGCAGGACAATCGTCACAAACCTGGCAGCTTAAAACTGTTAGTCCACAGTTCTTTAAGTCAGAAGTCCGGCACAGGCCCTCTGCTCAGGGTATCACAGGGCTGAAATCAAGATATCGGCAGGGCTGAGTTCTTATCTGGAAGCCCTGGGGAAAAATCTGCTGCCCAGCTCATTCTTGTTGTTGGACAAATTTAGTTTATTGCAACTACGGAACTAAAGTCCCCGTTTCCTTGCTGGCTGTCAGCCAGGGGCTGCTCTCAGCTCCCAGAGGCCACCCACATTCCTTGCCAATGGCCCCCTCCATCTTTAAGCCAGCGATGGTGCATCAAAGCCTCATGGTTTGACTTTCTGACGTCCTCTTCTGCCACCAGCTGGAGAAAACTCTGCTTTTCAAGGGCTCGCGTGATTATGTCAGGCCCACCCGAGTTATCTCCCTGTCTTACAGTCAGCTGTCCCCTGCAACATAACCTAATCCCGAGAGAAAAATCCTTGGTCTTCACAGTCGCAGGGATTCTGCGGGGCTGAAAACTCTTGGGGGCGATCCTAGAATTTGGTCTACCATATTCTCTGAGCGTGGAACTGGCTCCCGTCTGCTTCTCTCTCTGCAGAGGACATCCTGGGCATAGAGGCCGCACGGCCCTGGGAGTTCCACCCCAGCAGCTCCTGCCGCACAGTGGTCTTTCCACTGCTGACCTCTGGCTCTGCCTTCTGGCTGCTCAAGCTCTGGGAAGAGTGGGGGCCGTGGCCTGGCCCAGTGAGTGGCTACGTGCTGCTGGTGGGGCCCCGACTCCTCCTCACTGCCCTCTCCTTTGCCCTGGACGTGGCTGTGTACCACCTGTCCCCTCTGTGGGGGGCGGAGCGCTGGAACGCCCTGGTCCTGCTGTCTGGTTCCTACGTCACCCTGGTCTTCTACACAAGGACCTTCTCCAACGCCATCGAAGGACTGCTCTTTGCCTGGCTGCTGGTGCTGGTATCCCCCCGTGTAGCTTGGAGCCCTACTTCCAAGAAGCCTGCTCCAGGCCTGTGGTGGCGCCACTGGCTCCTCGGAGGCACCGTGGCTGCTGGCTTCTTCAATCGGCCCACCTTTCTGGCCTTTGCTCTGGTCCCCCTCTTCCTCTGGGGCATTTGTGGAGCCTCGAACCCTGGCTTCAAGTCGCTGACCCAGGAAGCCCTCGTGTTGCTCCCAGGGGCGACCCTCACAGCAGCGGTGTTTGTGGCTGTGGACAGCTGGTATTTCTCCAGTCCATCTAGACCCAGTACCCTTGTCCTTACACCTGCTAACTTCTTGGGCTACAACCTGGATCCTCAAAACCTGGCGAGGCATGGAACACACATGCGGCTCACTCACCTGGCGGTCAATGGCTTCCTGCTCTTCGGTGTGCTGCATGCCCAGGCCCTGCAGGCTGCGTGGCAACAGCTGCAAGCCTGCCTCCGGACCTTTGCCCAAAGGGGCTTCCTGAGGGCACTGGCTGCCCGGAGCCTGCCTTCCAGGCCCAGGGCTCACCTCCTGCTCATCTACTTCATGCCCATGGCCCTGCTGTCGGCCTTTAGCCACCAGGAAGCTCGCTTCCTGATCCCCCTTCTTGTCCCCCTAGTCCTGCTTTGTAGTTCACAGACCCAACCCGTGCCCTGCAAGGGCACCCTGGTCCTCTTCAATGCCCTGGGTGCCCTCTTCTTCGGCTGCCTGCACCAGGGGGGCCTAGTGCCTGGCCTGGAGCACCTGGAGCGGGTGGTTCATGCACCGGTACTCCCGAGCGCACCTACCCACTACACGCTGCTCTTCACCCACACCTACATGCCCCCCCGGCACCTCCTACGCCTCCCAGGCCTGGGGTCGCCCGTGGAGGTGGTGGACATGGGTGGGACAAAGGACCAGGTCCTGTGCCAAGCGCTGAACAACTTCACCAGACAAGCAGCCTGCCAGGTGGCCGGTGGGCCGTGGCTCTGCCGCCTTTTTGTGGTGACCCCTGGCACCACCAGGCCTGCCGTGGAGAAGTGCAGCTTCCCCGTCAAGAGTGAGACGCTCCTGTTTCCCCACTTGACCCTGGAGGACCCCCCAGCCCTGTCCTCCCTGCTGAGTGGGGCTTGGAGGGACCATCTCAGCCTTCACGTCTTGGAGCTGGGGGAGAGGCCCGACAATATAACAGAAGAGCCACTGCCCAAGATTCAGCCGTAGGTGAAGGTGCCACTCCACCTTCTATGTGGGAAGCTGGGCTGGGACAGAACCCTCATTCTCTTCCTTTCCTGTCCCTTCCAGAACCCCATCACTGCCTCTCCTGTGCACAGCCTCTGGCTGCTCTACCTTGGGGTAAGCTGGCACCCTCTCTCCCGCAAAGACCAAAGATCTGACCGGTCATGGTCCTGATGCCAAGGTCCCCAAAGAACCTGGTGGAACCAATGGCGCCTAATGTCTGTTTCTGCCATATTCCTTCTAGCCACTGTGATGTTTTAAATATACAACAGCACCTGGTTGTGAAGAGACAACGGTCTGCTAGTGACATTCCCGAATGACTTCTCCCAAAACTCCCAGGAGGCCTTACCTCTGGCTGTCTTGACAACCCTTTGGCTTCCTAGATCCCTGGGAGAGGCAGGGTGGCGATGTGGAGAGAGTAGGTAGCTCAGATTCAGGGGACCCAAGTTCCAGTCCCTGGTCTGCCACTTACTGGCTGTGTATTCTTAAGAAATCCCCTTCCGCCACCCAGCCTCAGTTTCCTAATCTGTACGATGGATCAGAGGATCTCTGTGGTGTCTGCAGCACATGGTCCCTGGCTAGACAGGCATGTCTCTCCCCGAGCTCTCTGAGCAGAGAAGCAGGTGTGGTGTGGTATTTAATGGCATGTTGGTGCCTGCTGTCTCAGTGTTCAGTAATTACCAAAACAAGTAATTCTGGAACTTTTCTCCCCACTCTCTTCTACTCCTGTCCCTGGAGAGGTGGTGGGACATTTCTGCATCTCACCCTTTACGGATCATTCTCCAAGATTTCGGAGCTCAGATGTTCTCTCTCCTCAGCCTGCCCCAGAGGGAATGGAGAACACATGATGCTCAGTTAGTATCCCGCGGCACTTGAGGACAACCTGGCGCTCCCACAGGCCTTGTTTCTTAACTGTGGTCTGGTCACTCTCCAAGTTCAAAGCACCTGTCTGAAGCTTCTCTTCACAGGACGGAGAGCAAACCCCATGCCAAACTAACCCCTGCTACTCTGGTGGAAGCCACTACACCCCTGGGCATGTTGCTCCCACAACATAGCGTACCCCTACCCAGTCCACTGGGAAGGTGAGGAGCTGTGGCACTCAACTTGTTCTCACTCTCCCTCTTCACACCCCTACCATTTCATGAGAACAAGAGGCACCCAGGGGGCCAGCCCGGTGGCACAGCGGTTAAGTTTGCACGTTCTGCTTTGGCAGCCAGTGTTCATCAGTTCAGATGCTGGGTGCGGACATGGCACCACTTGTCAAGCCATGCTATGGCAGGCGTCCCACATAAAATAGAGGAAGATGGGCATGGATGTTAGCTCAGAGCCAGTCTTCCTCAGCGAAAAAGAGGAGGATTGGCGACAGAGGTTAGCTCAGGGCAAATCTTCCTCAAAAAAAAAAAAAAAAAAACAGGAGGCACCCAGGCCACAGAGATCAGTGAGCTGGAGGTCAGTGCAGAGCAGGAGACCAAACCTGTACAAATGACCAAACCTGAGTATTTTTCTAGTTCTTCCTTCTGCGGGCTAATGCCTTGGGTCATCTCAAAGCTACACCCTTCACAGGCATGCTGCTTGGTGGCTGCTGCTAGGGTCTTAGTGCCACGTCTCCCTCATGACTCCGACCCAGGGGAAGAGGAAAGTCAGTAGTAAGTTGGTAAATGTTTAGCAACCCATTCTCTGGGGCAAAAAAGTCCCAATTTGTAGCATTTGCCAATTTCTATGGTGTAAGTACTCCCACCATAGCTGATTTCAAACTACTAAAATGATGTTACTGAACTCCGAGCTGGGAGATGCCAAGGATCGGCTCTCGTGAGCCAGTATAAGCTGGCTCTAGCACACTTCTGGACATTTCCCTCCTGTAAACTCTATATACCCACTCATGACAATTCATTGTTCCTGTGGTCTATGTACGAACCTGATTGGTCTTCCTACTCTTACTGCTTAGCATCATCTCTGGCACATGATAAGCATGTTATTTGTTTACTTTGCAGCCAAAGATGGCTTTTCTGCCCAACAGATAAAAACCAAGTGCTGCCTTGGAGACATCCCAGACTCTAGGGTCCCAAACTCCTCTGGGCCTCTTGGGATTTCTGCCTCTTCCCTCCCTCAGTTGAGTCCATGACCTCAGAATTCCCTGGAGGAACCGTGGGTATAGCAGTCCACGTGGATTGTGATGATCTGAACTTTAATAAATTTGTCCATAAAGTGTTGGTGTCTAGATCTGTGTGGCATCAAGGTGTAAGTCGGAATTGCCCCGCAGGATAACGGGGTGAGTTGCTTCCATGCTTCACTTTCTGGCGGAGCTTAGAAGAGTTTGAAAGGCATGCTGGGAGACTGTTGCCACTGGGGGTGGTGGGAAGAATTTAGTCTGTTTCTTGACTCATAGGGTAGCTGGTGGGATGGCAAGCCACTGACTACAAAGACTGGAAACTTCTCCAGCGAAGGGGCAGGCATCCAAACCAGCTCTAGCTGAAGGAGAAAGGACCCAGTTCTCTCTCTCTGCTCCCAGATTCCTACAAAATGGAGAGAACTTAGTTCTTAAACACTTCTTCCACAAGAAATAAGCAATTGCCCCCTTCTCTAGCTTTCCTTCCTTTCTTACAAAACGGTCAATTTATTGAGAAGCTTCATTGCTTCCTCTACTGCTTCCCTTTCTGTCTCTGGTCTGGAAAAAGACCCAACAGTGAGTGTGCTTGTTTATGCTGAGGGTAGGGGGTTGGGCTGGGACTGCTAACATTCTGCTGCTCTGATATCCAGAGTCATGAGTGGGATTGAGACCAATGAGGCAGACAAGGCAGTAGAATGAACAGACTCCTCAGGCTCCTCACTGCCAGGCTCAAAGGGGAAGCCAGTGAATTGCCTCTGCTCTGGGAGATGGAGGATTTGTCCTCTAATGGGAAGACAGGAAGATAGGACGCAGGCCAAATCAGAACATTGGCCATTAGGAGACTGGGACTCCTGGCTTCAGAGAATATTAACATAGCAGCACCTGTGATGGGAAGCCTGGAGGGTGGGATGTCAAACCAGAAGTCTGACCATTAGGAAAGTGGAGGACAAGCTACTTTAGCTCTCCATCCCCAGGGTAGGTCTACGGCTCTATCTAGCTCCCTCTCTGTGACTAGCAGAAAATCCAGAGTATAAATTCTGCTTGGTCACCAGCCTAAAAGCTTCTCCTGTGGTTTCGAGGTTGCATGATTAACTGTGCAGTCTAATTAGAGGCTATCAGAAATTCAGTCAAAAGCCTCAAATGACAGGGCACTTCTGCGTACAATGGATTTCCTAATCATGGGCCCATTAGCTAAAGACCATAGTCTTTAGATTGTAACCCAGACCCTCTACAATGGGGAACAGGAATCTAGGTACTTTGTTCCATATAGGCAGGAGTCCTAATGCCCAGTGGTGACTCTGTAAGGTCATGGGCAACTTAAGAAACGGCCTACACTTCCTCACAAGAAAGTGGTTGTAAAGAGTAAATGAGATAACCACATAGAGTGCATGAGCAAGTGCCAGCACTGATTAAGCACTCGATACGTGTTAGGTAGCGTTACACGGGCCTACGGTCCCCAGGAACCTTAATCCATCTTGCCGGAGAAATACCACGCTCATACCCATTACTCATCACACATTTAATCAGAGGATTTTGGCAGCTGCAGGGTTGTCTTCCATCCACGATCTCCCCTGGAAGTAATGGCCTGCTACATCGGTACAGAGGCAGCGTCAGCCATCGTGAGTTGCAGTCCTGTTTGCAGAGGGCAGACTCTCTTTCGCGCTGAGCTTTGGTCCATGGCTCTCTGTACGCGGTGCATCCGGGCCCAGCCCATCTTCCTTTCCGTCGGGCTTCGGGGGCTTTCTTCGCACACGGCGCCCTGTCGATCACAGGGCTCCCCAGGGCTCTCCGAACGGGACCTCTGCAGGCCGACGGTCTGAGTCAGAACTCGGAGCCGTGCGCAGTGCCCGGGGTGACTCCTAGCGCCGAGGCCTGTGTCGAGCCCAGAAGGGAAAGCAGGCGGCTGAGGCCCGGCGCGGCCCGGGTTTAGGGGTTTGCGCCCGGGCCCCTCTGGCTACCCGGCGGTGGCCCCGGGCGTTCCCGGAGGCCGCGGCGTAGCTCCTGAGTGAAGGTGTCTTTGAAGCGGGCAGCGCGGCGGCCCAGGGAGCCCGCGGGCCCAGCCGCTAGGCGTCGTAGGCGCCGGGCCGCGTCCTGGCCGCGCAGCTGGGCCTGCAGCAGTGCGAAGGCCGTGAGCTGCGCCGCGCGCCGGATGGGCCGCGACTCGGACAGACGCTCCACCAGCTGCGGGCTGTGCAGCAGGGCGGCCAGCAGCCGCCGAAGAACCATCCTCGGAGCGACTCGGAACCCGAAGCACGCCGCTCTTGCTTCTGATCGGCGAGGCCCGGCAACGGACCACGTCCGCGCCCGCGCCGCCCGGTGACGACACTGCCACGCGGGGATTGGTGCGCGCGATTCCCACTGTCAGCAGCCGCCTCCGCGCGTTTCCGGTTCCGCCAGCGCCGCGGCGGCCTCGTTGTTCCCGGAGTGGCGGCGCCCCAAACCACCTCTCTGCGCTATGTCCGGCGGCCTCCTGAAGGCGCTGCGCAGCGACTCCTACGTGGAGCTGAGCCAGTACCGGGACCAGCACTTCCGGGTGAGGGAGGCCGGGCCGCGAGAAGGGAAGGTCCTGGGTCGGAACGCTGAGATGGGAATCTGCTCGTGTCTCGTTGTGTCGTCTGCCATTCTCTGGTTTCTCGAAACGCGAAGTGAGGCCCCGGTGCCTGCTGGCGAATGGATGCTGAAAGGGCATTTGGATATCACCGAATCCCCGTCTCTCATAGACAGGGAATTTGCGGCTCGCTTTCCCATTCTCTTGACTTCGCTCCCTGTTCCCGGGCCAATGCCTGGGGGCTCGAGCGGCAGTAGTAGTGGTGGCTCATGTTTTCATGGGCCGTGCCTCGGAAAGGTGACTTTGTGATGAGGGGTACAGGTGTCATTTTGACACTTGGAGTATGTGGAGGTGTCTTCCTGTCCCAGATACCGGGTCTTTTTAATTACTTAAAATTTAAATTAGATCAGCCAAACTGCCCTTTGGCGCTTCGAGGCCTTTCCTTGGTCTGGTAGAACGGCCCTACAGAGTTCTACGGAGTGGGTAGGAGTCACCAAGTAGAGCCCTGTCTCCACCCTTAGGAAGCCGTTGGAGTGGACACCAGCCAAGCTAGGCACGTTAAGTGTCTGGATGTCAGGATCAGAGAGCTGCTGGGTTTCAGAAGAGGGAAATTATAGTTTGGCCTCTGTTATAGCAGATCATGTGGGAAAAGGGAAGGCTGCAGATATTCAGGGTGGCTCTTCAGTATCAGCAAAGGCGGGAGTTGGGTGGACGACACGTTAACCACTGGCTTTTCAGTAAACTTTTGAGTGTTGTTGCTGAAGCCTTCTGCCAAACTTTAGAGGGAGAGAAAAGACAGTTTCCGCATCCTTAGAGTTCATAATCCTCTAGTAGGGATTGTAAATGGAGGCGAGTAACCATAATCCAGAACAGAAATGATGAGTGGGAAGGGAGGGACTGTGAGGCTTGGGAAAAGGGAGAACCCTCCTGACTGGGAAAGGAGGGGGGCATATAAAAGAGGGTAGGCTTGGAGAATGTAAAACGTGTTGGTAGGGTAAGGAAAAGGAAATTTTGTTTGAGGGGAAATTGGGGAAGATCTTAAATTCATTCACTCTATCAGCAGCTTGTTTATTTATTTTTTGATTTTATTTTTTTCCTTTTTCTCCCCAAAGACCCCCGGTACCTAGTTGTATATTCTTTGTTGTGGGTCCTTCTAGTTGTGGCACGTGGGACGCTGCCTCAGCGTGGTTTGATGAGCAGTGCCATTTCCGCACCCAGGATTCCAACCAATGAAACACTGGGCCGCCTGCAGCGGAGCGCGTGAACTTAACCACTCGGCCACGGGGCCAGCCCCTATCAGTGGTTTTTAAATGCTTACTAGATGCCAGGCATGATTTTCACTTCTATCACTTTTACGGTTCTCATCACTTTAGAAAGTTCCACATCATAACCATCTTGAATTTCAAGCATCCTGCAAGATTAAAACAGTGAAAGGATTCAACTTTTGCTATTCATCTCTGCAGTCTGAAGCCTATAGCTTTATTTAGGTAGTAGGAAGATATTGTCATGCAGAATTTCTGGTGTTCCCTGAATGGAATCCACATTAATATCATACCGCAGGTACTTATACCACAGTTGTCTTAAGCCGTAGGCTATTTGTTTGGACATTGCTTACATGTGTGAGAAAAGTAGAAAGACAAGAAAATGCCTCCTCACCATAATTTTAACAGCTCAGTAACAGCAGTAATATAAAGTGAATCTATCTTATCTAATGTCTCATTCCAAAGTTTTGAAAACCTGTTTTAATGTAGAATGACTCTTGTCGTATGAACTTTTCAGGGACGTATGGGATACGTATGGGATAAGACGGTTTGGATACCAGCTACGACTACTGAGTAGCTGTGTGACCTGGGACAGGTTACTTAACTGTTTCCTCAGGTGTAAAACGGGGTAATACATTAGGACCTGCCTCATTCAGTTCTGAGAATGAAATGAGACATCATACATGGAAATTCCTGACCTGCAGTTCCTTGATTCTCCCTAGAGGCAGACATACTTATCTGTTTCTTGTGTATGATATCTATGTGTATTTATACTTTCAAAAAATATGGGGCCAGCCCCGTGGCCGAGTGGTTAAGTTCGCGCACTCCGCTTCAGCGGCCCGGGGTTTCGCTGGTTTGGATCCTGGGCATGGAGATGGCACCAGTCGTCAGGCCATGTTGAGGCGGCGTCCCACATGCCACAACTAGGACCCACAACTAAAAATATATATACAACTATATACTGGGGGGATTTGGGGATAAAAAGCAGAAAAAAAAAAAAAAAAGAAGATTGGCAACAGTTGTTAGCTCAGGTGCCAGTCTTTAAAAAAAAAAATAACTTGGAGCATAACCTTCACGTTCTGTACCTTTTTTTTCACTTTGCTCTGTCTGGAGATGCTCAATATCACTGCACGTGGATGCACATTTTCTTAGGGCTGCATAGCTTTATATGTATTGATGTACCATAGTTTATTTCATCATTTTCCTTTTGATTTGAGTTTAGATGGTTTCTCTATTCTACCACTGAATGTGACCCCATGAGACCTATTACTCAGAGCACTGTGCTGCAAAGCATTCAGAGACGAGTAATGGAAAGTCTTATTCTCTGAGGGAAGGAAACTGAACCAGCATTCTATATGGAGTAGTAAATGAAGAAGGGAGGCCTGTTGGCAAATGCTCTGGGGGCCTGAGTATGGATCGACTCAGCTACTTTCCAAGCTGGAATACCACCTTATGGTTGATCTTAGAGCCCTAACCTGGGTCAGAAGGGCCTGCAGGCAGGTCAGTTGGTAGGTCTTCTCTTTAATTAGCATTACTCCTCCCCAGTGTGGAGGCTAGAAGAGAAAGTCCAAGGACGGCCACACAGGTTTCTGTAAAGGCATCTAAATACCATGTCTACCCCATGATGAGCCATCTTGTCCCCAGGGATTGTCAGGTGTGTTGGCTGAAGCCCAGTTGTATTCCTGTCTCTGGCTTCATCCTGTCTTCCAAATTAGGAAGCCCATCAAGAAAGTGAGATCTCATTTTTAATGACCACTATATTTTCTTCTAAACTCAGAGAAAAATAGATGAGGCTGTAAACCAGCTAGGCAGTTGTTGCTTTGAATATTCTCTATGGAAGTCTTGTAAGAGGTACCCTATCTCTGAAAATCCATTTCTTTTTCACTACAAAGGATAAAAGGGTCCCTTCTGATATATTGGTTCAAGGTCCAGAAATTAAAGTTGGGCCGTTAGAGAAGGATCCAGTGCTGAGGATATGGAGTGTTCAGGGAAAAGTCCTGCCACTCGTGTGGCGGCATGGTGCTGGAGGAGGGTGGCTACGTGCAATGTGACTTTCAAGCCGTGACCTTCTACTAAAAGCAGTCTGGGCCTTGCATGGTGCTTCATGGACTGTTTTTCTTTTGGCAAAGGATTTGTGGTGGATTGAGATGATGACAGAAGCTGATTCCCAAATCAGAATTAATGAAAGTTTTTTCTCATACTTAAGAATACTATTTAAGCAAGGCTCTTCTTAGATTGTGTTGCTTAACTTTTTCTGTTTGAAATTCTAGGGTGACAATGAAGAACAGGAAAAATTACTGAAGAAAAGCTGTACATTATATGTTGGAAATCTTTCCTTTTACACAACTGAGGAACAAATCTATGAACTCTTCAGCAAAAGTGGTGACATAAAGAAAATCATTATGGGCCTGGATAAAATGAAAAAAACAGCATGTGGATTCTGCTTTGTGGAGTATCCTTCCTGGGTGTTTTATGACCCTCTTGGATGAGGGTGGGGCCGAGAGTGGCTAGTCACCTGTCTAAAAAAGGAGTGAGGATATTTACTAATTAGCAGCCCCACACTTATCTCTACCTGTCTTTCCTTCATCTACCTTCTGCCTTCTGTCCAGTGTGTCTACACTCTTACATTATGAAAGCTGGTAACATTTACATTCTGTTCCGAAATCCATGCTTTGTTTATAGTTGATTCTTTATGAAAAACAATCTTTCGAGAATATATGCTCATGGTGTTTTAAAAAGTCCAAAGGGTGTAGTGGAAATAAAATCCCAGTACCATTCTAAACCCAGAATCAATCAATTATCAGTCTCTTGGGTGTCTTTCCAGAGGTATTCCTTTGGATGTGTGGCAGTCTACTGCATGCACTATTCTTTTTTCGCCTTAGAGATTGTTCCATGTTAGCACATGTAGGTCTACATGTTTAAAATGGCTGCATAGTTTTTCATTATGTAGATATCTATAGCTTGATTTTATAGGTATTTACTTATGAACATTTCTCCTCTCCCTGGAAACTCTAAATATTGGAGCTTCTGGTATCCTGTAGTGTTTTTTTTCTTAGTTAATATTTTCTTTTTTGGTCATTTTATTATTCTGAGAAATTTCCCAGAGCTGATCTAACATGTCTTGAATTTTTTTTCTGTGCCCTGAATTAGCTGTTTCTTTTGGTTGTATTTATGCTGTAAATTTTCCTTAAATGTCTAGTGATCCCTGGGTTACCCACCATATTAGGGAAAAGAAGGCTGACTTTGTGGACGCAGGCAGAGCTTCTCTCTCAAGCCCTTCTTTGGGATATGTGGGTTTCCCAAATGCCAGAATGAAAAGGGGTTTTATTTTGGCCTGCTCACATCAAGACACTGCCCTCGTTCCTCCAGACAGTTCGTTCAGAACCCTGTCATTTTATTTTTATTTGCTTGGGATTAAATGCCTTCCTGCTAGCAGGTCTTCCCACATAAAGACCTTTAATTAAATTTTATGTGCAGCCTCACTTCTTATTCAGCTGTGAATTAAGAGCCTTCTGGGTTTGCTGTCCCCTTTAAGCCCCTTCAAGAATATTTCACACTGTGACTTTGTTTCATCCCTTAAGCACTCTTCCATCAGCTTTTGTTGAATCTCTTATCTGCTGACGGCCTCTTCTGTTCTGTAGGTGTTATGTTTCTTTTCTCTCATTTTAAGGGGGGTCTTGAGAAGGAAAAGAGAAATGTACTCTATCAGCTTGAACCTATTCCCCACTTTTGAGTTTGGAATCTGATTCTGGGCTCTACAAGCTTCTTCCCTTCTCCCTTCAGACGCTAGGGGCCAGAGTGCCCGGGTTTTGCTTTTGCCTTTGGTGGTAACAGCATAAAATAGTTCATGGGCAGGGAGAACAAATGGAAACACAAAAGGCAAAGAAAATCCACCTCGTCGATGATAATCAGTCTCTGAGAACGGGAGAGTTTTTGCATTTGCTTTGTAGGTCAAAGATCAACAATCATAATGGCAAATACTCGAAAGAGAGGCTGCTGTTGCCAGTGTTTCTTTTCTCTGCCCTTTTAGCATTCATTTCATTCATTCAACAAAAAATTTCTGAACGCCCACTGTGTGCTAGGTACTGGACACTGGAATTTCAGCAGGGTTTCTCTACCTGTGTAATTAAAGACAAGAAAAAAAAAGTCTAGATCAGCATTTTCTAAACCCAGCTAATAATCAAAATTGCTTGTAGAGTTTTTTTTTTAATACTCTCCCAAAGATAGATTTAATAGATCCAATTAAATAGGTTTGGGAACTACTAACCTGAGTGATACTGTGAGTCTTTCCTTCTAATGAAATACAGTGACGATTCCATATGCCCTGTGACCTCTTTTTATTAAGGTTGTTCTTGAATATACAGCTCCAAATTTGGATGCTCTTGTTTCCTTGGTTAAGAATTGTGCAGTTTGTGGTCTAAGCCTGCACTGAACATACATTTTGCACACCAAAATGTGGAGACAATGGGACCAAGTGATTATTAATAGGATTATCCAGGAAATCATGATCAATGTAGCCATGGATAAGTGTCCTGTTTGACTCTTCGAGTGCTTCTGGACCAACCTCAAACAGGCCTGTGCAAGCCAGATTATTGCCTTTTAACTCCATTTGGTTGGATTAGTATTTGTACTTTTTCTTAACTCAGCTTCATTTAGATGTTGCTTCCTGTATTTCCAGAAATGTTTGGTGAAATGCTATACAGCGTTCCTTAATACTTATACTTAAGATACTATTCAAGAGCAGATGCAGAAAATGCTATGCGGTACATAAACGGAACTCGTCTGGATGACCGGATCATTCGCACAGACTGGGACGCAGGCTTTAAGGAGGGCAGGCAGTACGGCCGTGGGCGATCTGGGGGCCAGGTATGCAGGAAGGTTCTCTGGGCTCCGCCTTTGCCTAGGATTCTAGTCCTAATGACAAGTGTCTTGTCAATTTGTATTTGCTCTTTTGAAAATTAACTTTGTGTCTATGACCTTGGTTTGAAATGAATCTGAAAACCGCCCACTGGAATTGGTAAGTTATTTTTTAAACCATGAGATAGTATATTCCATACATTTCTATAAGCAGCCATTATTGGATATCTGCCAGATATTTTCCACTTGCCAGAGTGTCTAGAACAAAAGTAAAATGCACTGAAATGAGTTTTAAGTTTTTACTTTAAAATAGCATAGTTAAGTACTTGCTGTTTGGAATGTGCTATTTTTGAACGCTGATGAATGATTATGACTGGCAAAAAAACATTGGGTAGTCTTAATTTTGCAAGGCAGTTGAGCTTTATATCAGTTGCTCAAAAAAAGTTATGTCCTGCTTGAATGTTCACATTATGACACTGGAAAAGGCTTAGTTGTTTGTCTGACATATTTGTTACACCAATCTTCTCTATGCTGTAACTTGTGTTCTTTTCAACTAAGGTACGAGATGAGTATCGGCAGGACTATGATGCTGGGAGAGGAGGCTATGGAAAACTGGCCCAAAACCAGTGAGTGGTGAGCGCCCCATCATGAAAAACTCCCTCCTTTGGCCTGCTGAATTTGACATACATTACCCAAGGTCTGCAAACCTGCCCATTTTACCAAGCTTTGATCAATGTCTCTACTGAGCTGGAAGCCTCTTCATGGTTTTCCTCTGAAAATTATTAAAGGACAGAATCCAAAAGAATGCCTTTAATTCTGTAGTCTTAGAATGCTGGCCATGTGTCAGGTTACCAGAATGATTTTCTGTTACCAGGTCAAAAATTGTGTTCCTTGGCAACACATTTGATCTGTTATGTTGATCTATCTGTCCCAAACACCACACTTCTTTTAGGAAGACTGGAAAAATTAAAAAATTTGTTTACCATGTTTGCATCTAAGAAGGTTCATGGTCTACACTGGGTCCTGGAATTATTTTTTAAATTCTAAGTTTGCATGAGATAAAGTTTAATAAATGGAGTTTTGCTCTATTGTATAGCTTTGCTCTAAATTAGGAACAGATGTTTGACAACTCAATTTGCTTTCTGTGTTGAATTCTAATCTCTAAAGGCAAACTTAGGAGTCAAGGGAAGTTCCCAAATGGTGCAAAAGTAAGCCTTAGACCCAGGGGAAACCACCTGCTTCCATGCTTTATATATCAGGACATTAGGGACAGGGCTTCAAGGGTATTTACTCAACACATTTTTCAAAAGATGTGTTTTACCTAAAGCTAAAAAAAAAGCAAGAGTTGGTATTATGGAGAACCTGAAATGCTTGTAAGGCCTGGGGGGAGGGGGGGGCGGGGGTGCAGTACACACTGTCAGTAGGAAATGGGATAAAATATCAGGGGACGTGAGTTAACCGCTTTGACAAGATGAAGGTTGCTGTGAGGGCCATCAGATTTATTCTTTTCATTTTCAAAGTGATCTTGGGAATGGAGTGGGTTTAAAAAAAGAGCTTGAAGATTGAGAGAATGCTTAACAAAAACAATCCGAAATGCCTCCCTCAGGAAATGTTTCGGCCAATTCTCATACTGAAGTCTGTCTTGTTTTTTCCCTGATATGCTTACTGAGTTTCAGAGCCTTGATAGTGAGCTGATGGTCTCTACAGAGAAGGGAGTCTAGAGAATTTATTTTGCATTTGTAAGGCAAGAGGTGATTTCTCTCTAATATTCGATGTGAACTACTGCTCATTTAAAACCGCTAGTCTAATTTTCCTTGACATAAGTCAGATTTTTTCATGTAGCAACAGAGTATCCCCCAGGTTCCAGTAGTTTGTGAAAGTTGGGGTTTAAGTATCTCAATGTGAACATCTTTTATGTTACAGTAAGTGTAGGTTTTCTCTTTAAATTCAAACTGCTTATTTGAATTTTTAAAAGAGCTGTTTTGCAAATAATTTAATGAGGACACGCTATTCATTTCTAAAATTTCTTTTTACATTGTGGTTTGAATTAATGTATTTTATATTCTTTTATAGTAAAACGTAACTGATTTCTACAGGCCTTAAAACCAGACAGTGGCTCCTATTTGAATTGTCTTCTGTAATAGATTTCAATAAAGTTGGACCAACTTATCATTGTCTATGCCCATTTCCTCACCTATGACGAGGGACATTGGAACTCTCTTACTCTGGAATATATATGAATGTGTTTTGGGGAGAATCTGTGACTAATGTACAGAATTTGCATGTCCATTTTGACTTGACAGTTACCTATTATGGTAGCCACTAGCCACATGTAGCTAATTAAAAAAACATTCAGTTCCTCAGTCGCACTAGCCACATTCAAATGCTCAATAGCCACATCTGGCTAGTGGCTGCTGTAGTGGATGCAAATATAGAACATTTCCATCATTGCAGAAAATTCTATTGGACAGTGCTATGTAAGGGTAGACTGCTTAGAGCCTATACTGGTCACTGTTCATTAACGAACCTTGTCGTGAGTGGAATGTCATTGGTAAAAATGACTACTCACCAAACAGTACACAGTATTCAACACAAGAGAACACACGTTTATAAAGGCATTTAGTTTATTTTTCAAAAAAATATTTTTGCTAGAAGGTTTGAGTAATTTTACATCATCACAATCTTTAAATAAATTCTTTTTCTGACCAAAAGGTACCATTTAAGTGAACAGCTTGTCTAGGTCTGCTTTTGTAACACCCAAATACAGTTAGCAATTCTCTAATGGTATTCCCTGGGTCGTCTTAATTATCTACAGGCCAGGAGGCAGAGCCTTGCACATAACAAAGTATGTGCTTTATAGCTGCTGATTAGTTCAGTTTCTTAACAGATTAAACAGAGCAGGCAGTCAGCTTATCTAATTCACACTCTTAATACAGTTTCTCGCCTGAAGGATCTGATCCATTCAGAGCTCCCAGTTCTCTCTTCTAACCCAGGGAAGCAGTGAACCACAACTACAGAGAAAAAGGGCAGCTCGACTTAGGCTAGTGCTGGCTGTGTCCCAGTTAGGTCTGTTATTGTTATGTTCCAACTATGAATTCAAGATGACCAGTGTTACCAGTATTCAGTGATAAGTAGAAAATACAATGCAAAGCCAAAAAAGTGATTTGGGGATTACTGGCAGCAACTGCTTCTTTTCCCTTCCTTATGAGAAGGCTGGTTCTCTACGATTCTTCAGAGACCTTAACTAAAAGTTGAATTAAATCTAGATTCATTGCTACAGATTTAACAAACGGAAAAGGAAAAGTCACTGGAAAGAAGCAACTACAGACTGGTAAGTTTGCTGATGGAGAGGACTGGGCAGCTTGTTGAAGGCACATCATAAGTAGCTTTTAGTTTGTACAAGGCCTGCACTCAACCCTAAAAAGCATAAGGTCTGCCCATCTTGTGGGCATCAAAACAACTCAGTGCCAAGCTAGTGACAGTGAAACAATGCCTGTCTCTTCTACCAACAGCCTAGAGTATATTTCAAAAATGTCTTCGTTGCAAGGAAGCAATTATTGCAAACATCAGGACAAAGGCCATTCTAACGGAGGACTTGGGCTGAATAGAGGTTTACACCTAATCACATGAGGAGGGGGAAAATGACCGTGTTAAAACCAAGTTTCATGAGCGACATTTTAAGCAAACTTTAAAAGTACTTAACATTTAGGGTAAAGCATGCTGGACAGTGCACCTCAAGGTGCCCTATAATAAAAGAGAAACTAGACTTGGACAGCACATTTTAGGTTCTCTATGTTCATCCATGCATGCCTCAGTGCTCAGAGGATGACCATTTCTCACATTGGAGGAAATGGCAACTCAAACTTTGGGCATTGAGATTCTTGCCAGAACACGGTTCTTTCAGTCTCGTTCGCATGCCTGGTTCTGTCAGTGAGGAAGTGAGATACGGAGCTCTAAAGTGTAAGACATTTTGAATTGATAGCCTAGTTACTGGCTACTTCATATAGCTACCAAAAAAAAAAAAAAGTTAGGCAAATGTCTCACATACAGATTTGAAAAATCTCATGTTTGCAGAATTATGTCTGAAAACCTCAAGAAGACATCCTCCCCACTTTAAATTGTCATCTTTCCTAATGCTGACACAACCCTACCTGTAGCAGCATAAAGTGCCTCTAAGCTCAGTCTTTTTAATAACCTGAAGCACACCAAGAAATACTGACCTGGTTTTATACCAAGGAGTCTGCGTCTGGGGGACTGAGGAAAGTGCTGGGACTGTTTACAACGTAAACACTGGTGTTGGTGCTTGGAATGTCTGGGGATGGGAACCCTGCATGTAAACACATCCTGACTCCACTCTCAACTGCTGGCAGTCAGCCTCACCTTATGGCCAAGTTAAACTGCATACTTTAGCTTTTTATTTCCAACACCCCACACCTAACTAGGCATAAATCCAAATATCTTTTGCCATTTACTTGATATTTTTCTGTACAAGCTTCTGAGTTTCTTATATACACATTTATTGTTTTTCCTGCCCCAGTTCAGAAAAGGTAATTTGGGAGTTTAACATGCATCTTTCCTTATTTCCTTTCCTTTCAAATATCACAAAAAGCTAGATTAAAGATGCAAAATCCATTCTTTTAGTCCTAATGCAGCTAAGTGTAAGGACAGGGCTACTTCTGCCTTTCCCTACAAGATGAGGTTCACAGAAGCAAAAGAAGGACTCCCTGTGCTGGAGTCTCAGGGTTGGTCAAGCAGAAGCCAAATCAGGAGCCCTGCATGTTCCTAGATCACGAAAGAGACAAGAGGAAAGCATCTGCTGTACTCCCGCAGAATCAACTTTTCTTTATTAACCTTTCCTCTTCTCTCCTCCCCACCCATCTGCAAAAGACCTAAAGTCAGTCTTCAGTTTTGAATGTTTGTATTTTAAATACCCTTGAAATAGAAAGGTATTTGGCAAATCTTAAATTTCTTCCATATGGAAGACAACACACAGGAAGTGACAACTTGTATATTACTCTTAGAAAGGCTGAATTCTCATTTGTTTGACCACTAGTTTGATGGATATTAATTTTTTAATGGATCAAAAACAGAAAAATCTAGGGAATTCAATGTTCCAGCAATAGCATTTATAAGGATTTAGGCATTTATTATAATTCTTCTTAAAACCAAGATTGAAATCTCTCGTGTTAAGATAACAAGACCCTCAAGATCATTGTCTTGTTCTCATACCTTAGTCAACTCTTCCCAAAGCAGGCACTGTGCCTACAAGTGTGCCTCCATAAACAGAACACACCAGTCAGTTTATGGCCACTTCCTTCTCAGCCTTCAAAAGGAATGCAGCTCACTCTCCAAGACTCACTTGGAGAGGGAAGTCAGTGAAAGGTGCTGCTGGTAGAAGTAAAACAGGACTGGCTTTGTCAGAACCACCCCAAGCTACCCTTTATGCCCCAGGGAACATCTACTATTCTCAGAGTTATGTTGTATCAAAACATCTTGTATTTTTAGGTTCTGGGATTAAATTTTAAACCTGTATTCAGTTCACGTCTAACTAAGTTTCAAAAGCTGCACCAAATCTACTAGGCATTTTTTTTAATACTCTGCATTGCATGCTCTGTCTATATGCATGCGTTTGGATAATAAATATTAAATATGGGGGGGGAACACGCGGAATCCATAAAAATAAAAATGAAACCAAAGTGAACATTAAAAAATAGTACATGGTAGCTAGAGAAATGAATAAGGGCAAAAAATAAATTTGAGGTAACAATAGTGGCCCAACACCACTGATGTGAAATATCTGTAAAAATTCAAATAAGTGTTTGGAGATTCAAGTAACAAACCATCTGCTCCAACTTGGTCAGACATCCCAGAGTCCCTGCTGAGTTTCAGTCCATGAGCCGGCACTCACATAGCTCCTTGTAAATCCTCTTCCGCACTCGGGGCATGTCTTCTTGGGAAAACTGGAAAGGCTGCTCTAAGGCGAGGCACTTGCAGTACTGCAAAGGTCCCAGAAACATGTAAGTGGCATGTGGAGTTACATACCAGCCCGATGTATTTTACCAGATGCAGACCTAATAGAATAGGGGCTAAGGCAGCATTTTAAAGTTTTTAAAAACTTGTTGTAAAACATTGTTGTAAAACATTTACCTCCAAATTACAGTCAACTTTCCAGGCAAGTATATGGCTTGGGATCTCCCCTCCCTCCCCACTCAATACTGTGAAAAGCAGATTAATGAAGAGGCGCCAATTCTTCTCAAGGTGCAACCTGCTGAGAATGCAGCTAGACCTAACATGGCCTTTAAGAGAACTCGAATTTGTTTACAAACCTCAGACGTTCATGAGTCATATGAATGAGCCCATCTTCTAAGATCTTTGCAAATCTCTAAATTTATGAATTATATACTATAATATCCTTCATAAATATAATGTATAACACATTTTTCAATAGCCCTTTTAGACCACTGAGAGAACCTACAGCATGAGAAAGCACAGTTTTTGAATGTGGCCCTTATTTAAAATCTAATTAGTTTTTACTTAGTGGTTAAGGATCATTTGCCAATGGTAAAAAAAATATACAGTTAACTGCAAATGCCAAGGGTCTATGATATGGACAAATTCAAGAGAGTCTACAGTGTGGCTTACTAATAACCTCTGATAAGACATGGATGATACCAGTTATTCATTCTTGGCCTTAGAAGGTGGTGGTTCCTTATGATAACATCTGAAAATGCAGAAACTACTGCTTCTCAAGAACAAAGGAAGGGAAGGAGGAAAAGTACTCTGTTACCTGTATCTAGTGTGTACACATCACAGGGACTCCCACCTCTCCTCTCTAAACCCAACAAATTTAATTCACACGTCGTAAATTCTGAAAAAACTATTTCTTTACCTGGAGCACAAAGACTCCACAGTCACTGTCATTTTTCTGTTGCGGAATACACTAAGGGGAAAAACAAAATGATCATTAAAATAAGACCAAGTACTCCTCTTCAGATAAGAAAAACTGTCTGTATGGAAAAACGAGCAAGAGACAGGAAACTTGTCTCTATCCAGGACAGCTGATGTATACCTCTGGTATTTGAAGTGTTTGATTTTATGCAGGCATCTGACCACATGGAAAGAGCCACCAATCAACCACAATCTACAGAACATTTTGCCTAAATATGAGA